TGAGAGAAAGTGTGTTTAAATGTGTGTGTGTGCATGTGTGTGAGAGTGTGTATGAGTGTGTGTGACAGAGTGCATGTGTAGAGCTTCATAGAAATTGTAAAATTAAAAGATTTGAATAGTTTAATGTACAATAAATGGAAACTGTGGTAGATATTTTTCTATATAAGACCTTGGAAAAGAATAACACTATGTGGTTACTGCCACATCACCACAAAGTCCATAATGAGAAAGAAAACTTTCTTTTTGAACCATCAATAATTAATATCTTAGAGAAGTCTAACTTTCAAGTATATATAATACATATGTATATTATATATATCTTTCTACATTAAAATTATTTTCTAAAGATTCTTAATTCACTTCTCAGAATTAATTATTTTTCTTTTTTCACTTAATTTATAATTAATACATAAAAACATACCAGTTGTGCACAGTAATCTTAGGGTTTCTGGTACATATTCTTTACAATAACAATTTCCTTTTCTTAATTTAGGAACCATATTTTATATCCTGAAGGACATTAGTCAGAAAGAAATCCTGATATGATATTCACCTTAAAAGAGGGCCTAGGCCCTGCCCTGAACAAAATGACAGACTCTGGAGATCCCCCTGGAGGGCCTCACCCTCCCTGGGGAATGGAGTGGAGATTGGGTAGGGGGTTGCAGGGCTGGTGGGGAAGTAAGGGATGCAGTAGTGGAGGGGAGGGAAAGGGAGCTGGGATTGAAATGTGAAGCAAGCTTGTTTCTAATTTAAATTAAAAAATTAAAGTTGGCAATATTATAATCCAATTTTGAAACATATTTTACTTAGATTAGCACAAAAAGGACAAAAATTAATAGAGCCCTAATTCTCTAACCCATTAATTTAATGCATAATTATCATGCCATGTTCTCAGCCATAGACTAGGTAATACAATAATGATTAAAATGGGGAGAGAGGGGAACACTCCTCCACTGCTGGTGGGAGTGCCAACTCATACAGCCATTTTGGAAAGCAGTATGGAGATTCCTCAGGAATCAATCTACCACAAGACCCAGCAATTCCACTCTTAGGAGGCAAATTCATTCAACAAGGGCATCTGCTTCACTATGTTCATAGCAGCATTATTTGTAATAGCCAGAACCTGGAAGCAACCTAGATGCCCCTCAACTGAACAGTGGATAGAGAAAATGTGTTACATTTACACAATGGAGTATTACTCAGCAGAAAAAAACAATGGAATCTTGAAATTCGCAGGGAAATGGATAGCACTGGAAGAAACCATCCTGAGTGAGGTAACCCAGTCACAAAAAGACAAACATGGTATGTACTCACTCATATATAGATTTGAGACATGGATCAGGAGAGTGCCAGTCTGCACTTCCACTGGCAAAGAGTCTGAGAAACAGGAAAGAATCGAAAAGATATGCATGGTACCCAAGAGAAGAGAAATGAGGCAAGATCCTCTGAACAGATGGGGAACGCAGCGGCGAGGAGTTGGGGGAGGGGGACCTGGGAAATAGAGAGGGGGAGAAGTGGAAGAGAGAGTAGGACATGGAGGAACAGGAAGGTTGAGTGGTGGGGGTACGCTAGAGGGAAGAGGGAATCATAGGTTAGAAGACAGATCAGGCACCATTGTGACCTCTAGTGATCTAAAGAGATGACACCAATTGGCAAGCTAAGCAATAGTGTAGAGACCACCTCGAATGACCATTCCTGATAGTGAACTTGATGCCTATAACCATCCTGGAGCCTTCATCCAGTGACTGATGGAAGCAGAGGCAAACACCCACAGTTAAACACTGAACAGAACTCAAGGAACTCAGCGACAGAGAGAGAGGAGCGATGAGCAAATTGGCAAAGAATAGGCTGGCAACACCAGCAGATACAGCTGATCTGAACAGGGGAGAGCTCTTGGACACCAGACCGACAGCTGGGAGGCCAGCATGGGACCGATCCAGACCCCCTGAATGTGAGAGTCAGTGAGGAGGCCTGGGCTACCTATGGGGTCCTGAGCAGTGGATCAGTGTTTATCCCTCGAATACTAACAGATATCGTGTGCCCATAACACAAAGAGGGTTGCCCTCTCTGCCTGGACTCTTAGGGACGTGCCTGGACCATACCCTGAGTGAAATGATAGACTCTAGATATCCCCTATGTGGAAGGAATTGGCAATAGGGTGGGAGGATGGGGGGATGGTGGGGGGGGGTTCGGGAGGAGGGGAGGGAGAGGGACCTGGGATTGATATGTAAAACAAGCTATTTAAAATTAAAATAAAAAATATTCCACAAAAAATATTGTGAACATTAGCAATGCTGCCGTAAGGCATTTAACTTACATTTTCCTTAAATTCTAGTTGTGCTGTTTTATTGTCAATTCTTATTTTGTTTTAAGTTTGTGAAAATTTCCCTATCATATAATCACAGGTAAGTTGGTGCCCTTCACATTGCAGAAGAGTGCTCCATAACAAGCTATGGGTCTGATTTCCCAAAGATCTTTATTCCTACATACAGTTTCCAAAGCACATTGCAGAGTGGTCTCTTCTTGGTAGAGGTTATGGGTAGGATCAACTATTCCTATTCTGTACATGGTGCCCTCTCCACCCTTCAAAAGACACCCTCCATTCCCACCCCCCCTACCTCCCCACCCCCGCCACTGTATTTTCATTTTCCTTAGTTGTTTCATTGTAATTAACTCATGGCGACACTTTGCCATAGATGAGACACTAAAATAAACCTGAGTATTATCAGTGCTCTCATTAGGAAACAAACATACAAAGCAAAGTTTCTCATTTTCCAGCTTTTGGTGATCACAACTCTCCTATGTCTCTGATGTCCCAGTGAAAGGCAATGAGTATCTGGGGAGAGAGCATTATCAAAGCCTTATTTGTTGAGTGACTTTAAAAGACACACCGAGTTCTCATATCAGAGTGAGTAAGCAGTCACAGTGTTACCCAGTCATTAGGGGGGAGGTGCTCTATGCTACTGTCTCTTGCATGTGGCCCTTCTCAGCTTGTGCATAAATTCATTTCAACAGCTGATGGGACAGAGCTTTTGCTTGTGGTGCTTATATAATCAATTAAGCTTCAAAATACTGCAAAATATGTATATACACTTGTGGGGGGTGCTTGTGTGCACCAATGCCCATATCTGTGTGCCTGTATTTGGTATTGGAGGTCCTTGTAGTTCTGGGAAGCTAAGTACCCTATTACAGTGACATGAACTACTGACAGAGGCACGATTTGCCTTGTGAGATTTCTGAATCGTCTAGATATGAATGATCTGTGGAGAAGTTTACAAGATTCCATACAAGTGACTGAACAGGAAAATATTATCATAATGTATGTGCACTGACACTAATTGCCAAGCCAATATATTTGGTTGCATTTGCAGTCATAGGCAACTGTTCTTATACATGATGTCTTAGCGTACTCCTCTACGTATTTGTAAATGGTTGCTTTGGGTAATAGCACACATGTAAACAGAACATTCTTCTGATAAAAGTCTTTGCTAAGTAAAACTTGTTTGTCAAATTTGAAAAAAATCGATTTCTTTTTCCGTGTAGTAGTCAAAAACACTTGATAAATATTATTTGAAACAGTCTGATATATTATAAAGTGGTATTTAAATAAACCACTTAAGACAGTAAGAGTTACCACTCTGTCCCAAAAGCGACACATTTTATACTTATGCCATCCATTGAATGATCTATAAACATATTTGTTGTATCCTGATACAATCTAGAGGATGAAAAGGAAAATTCTTAAGCCTTAGCATATTATAACAAAATGGCCCACTAGGAATGAAATGAACAACTCAATATTTGTCGCAGACAGAGATGGACCCTAGTCTAAATTATTCAGTATATCTAAATTTCTGTTGCTGTAATTTTTTTCGGGGTTGAATAAAATACATTTTGTTTCTGTAGATCTATTTGTTCTCTGCATGGTGGGTTCTAGAAAAGCAACAGGCATTTCTTTCACCCTGAACAAAACGAAAACGGCCTCCCAAAGTGGATGGAAACAGCTAATAGCACAAGTGGCAGCTATGACTTCAACACTTTTTGCAATAGCCGCAGAGAAAAGATAGTACATGAAGATGGGTAGAGGGGGAAGGGAGGGAGGAAGGGGCATTACCCACATAGATGCCTTAATATTAATGGCTATTCTAATTCACCTGTCCCCTGCCTCAGCCCTTTTAACCATCAGATCTTTTCCTCTTGCCTAGGTTACTAGAATAAAGCAAAGCTATTTGATTCGATTGATTCTCTTCCAGCTTAAAACTTGCAAGGTTCAGAAAGACAAAGGCATGTACCCTCCCTTGCGTGGGTATAAGATGCCTAAAAGCAAGCTTGGGCACTTCTGCTGTTAGCAGTCCTGGACTGTTCATCTCAGCCTGTTGCTTCTACCAAACACTGTGCTAGATTCTGTAGTAAGGAGGGGGACACTTGCAAGCTTTGCCATGCTAGCTAGGTGACTGGGCTGTGTGGGTTGCAGAGGCTAGCAGGTTTCGGGGACTGTGATGATTGTGGGGACTGTGCCTGGCCTGACTATTGCTGCGAATCCAAACCCCTGGTCGGGGCGGGGGCGGGGGGGGGGGACCCCAGTGCAGGCCACCTGGCTGCCAGCAGATGGTGCCCTGAACAACCCCACACTCAGGGAGACCCGGCTAAAGTAAGGCTCAGACTCCGCCCCAGCCAATCCACCAGCGCAACAGTCCGTCCGTCTTCCTTCCCAAAATAGTGCAGAGTACGTTTCCTTCGGAGCACCGCAGTAGCCCGTGTGTGTGTGTGTGTGTGTGTGTGTGTGTGTGTGTGTGTGTGTGTGTGTGTGTGTGTGTGTGTTGAAAATACAAACTGCGGATGATGGACAGTGTGTGTATTGGAGGGGGGCATACGCGCGGAGTGGGACCCTAGGGACCAGAGCCGAGGTGACCACCAATGAAAAGCAGAGGACAGAGAACGGGTCCATTTCGCATCTGCGTAAGCTCGGCGGCGCGCCGAGCCTTGGGGAGGCCACTCACCATGTTCACTTCCGAGACCATGTCTATGCTGGCGACATCTATCCGCATCCCGACGTCCACCGGGGGCCCTGCCGGGGAGGTGAATCACAGCAAAGACAGTCTTTTAGTGACAGGGGGCTGAAGGGACACAGGGGGCTTCCCAGATCTGATTACAGGCTACACAGGCTCCCTCCCTCCCCCCATCCCTGCTGTAGGGGACAGCCTGGGAAAACAGGTGTGGGCACACGCGTGATGCGGTGACAGTGCAGAGGGTGTGTCAGGTTAAGGAGAGGGACAACTCAGCCTGAGGATATGTCCACCTGAAACTGGGGATAGTGAGCGTGTGTGTTTGTGTGTGTGTGTGTGTGTGTGTGTGTGTGTGTGTGTGTGTGTGTGTGTGTGTCCTGGGCGTAGTACTGCACGTTTACAGAAATGGTTAAATGGGGAAAGGGACATTATCTCTGACGGAAAAGGGGAACTAGGGATGGGTCACAGGCTGAAAGGAAAATGAAGAAGCATTACCTCCAAAGTCCGGCCTCAAGCGAATGTCATATCCCTTGAGCAGTCGGTCCACCGTCTCTTTCACGTATGACATGTTGCTGGGTTCATTGGAGCTGGAGGGAAGAAGTAAGGACTGTATTCAGATTGAGCACAAACTGCAAACAGACATAAAATGATCCAGGCACACCTACCCCCAAATAACATGGTTCATGATCCAGCAGGCACGAAAAAGAAAAAGAAAAAGAAAAAGAAAAAAGCAAATGAAAAACACCAAGAAGAAAAAAAGAGATCGGAGAAGGCGGCTCACCTGTGTGCACAACAAACCATGGCAACCATCACAGGAAAAGAAAGAAGCCCCAAACTCTCTCGATTTTGTACTGTCCACATTACTAACTCTGATGAGGGAATTGTCTTTTCTGCGAAGATTCAAGGAATGCAACTTAGTCGGCGGCTGGGCAGTGATTCCCGAATGGACCTGCGCATGCGCAGAGGGCACTCACTACCAAAAGACACCTTGTGCCTTGCAAACAATATTCCTAGTGAACAGGCAACAGATTTCAATCCGTTTAAAGTTCCTGTCTGGGGTGCTCCGCGTTCTCCGGGTAGTCGGCTACAACCTGCTGTCTCCATGCAGGGGAGCTACGTGCCTGTGTGCGCCCAGTTTTTCTGCGCTGTGGTTTGCTCCGTTGCTCTCCCTTGTATCCTAAACCTGTTTTTTTTTTTTTTTCTTTTCGTTTTTGTTTTTGTTTTTGTTTTTTTAGCTGGGCTTTCAATGATGCGGCTAAGGCTGTCTGATTGGCATCTTTTGTTGATAATAATCACGGAGGTCCTAGAACAAGAAGTCTGGAGGCTGTTCTCTGGTTACCACTAGAAGATGTGGAGGATGCTGGAGATGGGGAGTGGGCAGTAAAAACCGGAAAACCAGTGGGGGGGGGGGGGGGACTCAGGACAGGTTTGGGCAGCTGTGAGTCTTGTCCTCTTCTGAGGTAACTTAGATGGCAGCAGGCTTGGTGTAGTGTTTCTCTGGGTTAGAGGATGGGGAGAACTGTCCAACTTTTAAATGCACTCGTTACCTTGCCGCCTCCTCTCCTTTGTTAGGCTTGGAATGGGAAGTGAAGAAAACAAGGATGGGGCAACTCTGGCAGAAAATCACTTTTCCAGGACCTTTGCTGGCAAATCGTACAGTTTTTAGTTAACAAATCTTCTTGCTTATAGTTGTCAGTATGCTAGCTCCTGGTGTGAATCTCTAAACAGAAGCCTGAACATCCCAGATCTAACCCTCAGTAGGCAGCAGGAAGGAGCTCTGGAGCTGTCATTCTCCTTTGAATTAAAGGGAAGTTGATAAATGCAATTCAACAAATATCATGAGATATGTTAGGCTGTTGGAGACTCTGGACTAGGCTCATGTTCCTATGTTAAATGGCATATACTTCCTTGTATACTAGGTATTCTGAGACATAGAGCTGGCTTAAGAGGGTTTCTGACCTAGAGAAATTCACAAAATACTTATAAGCCTAAGCAAAAAAAAAAACAAAACACCAGTGCATCTTTATATAGTCTGTGTAAACTGAAGAATTATTATTATACCAAGAGGCATTAGAAATTTTGCAGAGGAGAAAAAAAATAGAGGGACTACAATGATTTTTGCCAGAGCACAAAGTGAGACCCTTCTTTAAGGAAAACAATATGTAGCAACTCTTAGAGACTAGAAAACTTAGTTGTGTAACCGAGTACAGTAGAGATCCCTTAAAAAGGGAGGGAAGAAGGAAGTGATGGTGGGTGACTGGGGATGTGAAAGGAAGTGAGGAAATCATCTAGACTTCTGGAAAGCACTGGACATTTAATCAAAGGATGGGCAGGGTTGGATTTAGGTTTTAGACAAGACATTCTGGTGGAATAGTTTTGATACCAGTGACATTTACCACTTATGCACGTAACACAGGTTACCACCTTCAAACCATACAATGACTCATCCACAGAGATAATGCAGAGAATGTTTTAGACTACTGAAACCAGTAGTTAATGCCAAATTGCTAATAAGTAGTGGAATCTGCATTTCAAACTAGAATCCTTAGGTGTTATTACTCTCTGCCCTATAAAGTGCAGACTTTCAATGCAGAAAAAGAAAGTAGATAAGGAAAACAAAGAGAAAAGGAGGCTATTGCAGAAGGAAATAAAGTAAGAAACTGTTTAGCTTGGTGAGAAGTAACAGGCAGTCACAGACTTTCTGGAATATAATAGAGACATCAAGGGATCACAAGAGTCATGAATGTTCCTTAAAGAATTGTATAACCATTTCAATGTGTGCTGAATTTAAACATCAGGGAGAGAGAGAGAGAGAGAGAGAGAGAGAGAGAGAGAGAGAGAGAGAGAGAGAGAGAGAGAGAGGGAGGGAGGGAGAAAGCCAGTAACAGTAGTTTCATATTATATCTGAGCGCCAGAAAATCCTGAAGCCTCAGCGCTAAGTCTTAGATTCCTTAGTTTGCTTGAGTGGCTAACAACTTGCTATTACAATAATGCAGGTCTGTTTCTAATGAGTCAAAGAGAAGACCTGTTCATTTTTCAGGGCCCTGCTGAAACACAGAATCTCTTTGTGTGTCAAAGCTATGCAAATTCACCCTGTGCAAAACAAGCCACTTACAGGTTTGCCTCATCCATTTTCTCATGCATTTATTCCTCGAATGTTTATTGAACGCTTAGTAGGTGCCAGACATCGTGTGAAGAACTGATGCCACAACAGTGAACGAAACAGTACTCAAGGTCCCTTCTCACCTGTGGAACTTGCAAACATATTCAAGTCACAAAAGAAACATTTGGTGGGATGTTCACTGTGGTTGTTCATTTAACTTATGCAGCATTCACTGGCGTATGCACTTTGTAATTGGTTATAAACCCCATGGGTTTTTTTTATCTTGTTTTTTGGATAGAAGGCACCACTGCATTAGCTAGGTCTGCTTAAGAGCCAAGGCTTTACTCTTGAGTCATGGTGTGAGTTTGGATGCTTTAATTCTAGTGTTAAGCATGCTTCTGCCAGTTCAATCCCACTGGATTTTGCTCTGAAATTATACTTTCTGATTAGGTAAAAGCATACTATAAGAAATCATATAATACTATGTTTCTCATTTTATTAGTATGATGTATCAATTATATAAAAATAATGTTTTATTATGACACTTCATATGATAGCCACTATTTATTATTGAGATGCTACTGAAGATTCACCCTACTTTATCTCAGTATAGAATGTATAAAGAGTGTCTGTGGGAAAATAGTTTTCCAGACCTTATCACTCTGGAAACCATCTGATTTTCTGAGTAGGTTGCATCTTGATAACAATAGGAATCTTAAAACTCATTCATTCTGCCTACTTATTTTGGTCACTGGGAATGTTAGAATTATATATACAGCTTTGCTTTAGTCATTATGCAAGATGTTAATGACCTTCATTTTGATACATTGCATTTCTCCCTGATGTCTTAGGAGTCTAAATTTAATCTCCCCTCTTCACACTTTACTAATTTAAAAACAGATATGTTGCACTGAATATATAGAGTTTGTAAGTTGTCTTGGAACTGTGAAATAAACAAATCTTAAAAACTAAAAGGAAATAAGTTAATAATTGATCCAAATGCTTTGGGGATTTTTTTTCCTCCTCTTGGCCTGGAAAATCCAACACTTTCTTTTCTTGTGAAGTTGCTTGTTTCTTCCCAACACCTTTCTCCCTTCAGAGCTCAACCCAATTAAAAAAATGGTGTCTCTAAAACCCAGCAGGACATTGACACCCTTCTATTTCCTTCTGCTGAACCTATTAGAAGAAAATAGAAGGCATCCAAGTTAAAATAAAGATAATAAAAATAAACACTCACAAAAATTCACATGCATTTTTGGTATTTCTTTAGATAGACAACAACAAGGAAACAAAAGAAAAATGAATGTATTATAATAACTTCAAAAATCCCAAACGGACCTGAAAAAGCTGAAGAAAATACAAGGAGAGAAGTGTGAGAACTCAGAATGGTAGCATTTTATCTAGGCTTAAAAAGGGAAAACAATTCGAATAAAAATCCTTACAGTCAAATGGAAATTGAGAATTCAGTTCTAAAATTCGAACATAAGAATAGGAGGTCGGAATAACTCAGTGGAAGATTGGATGACAACAACAACCAAAAAAAAAAAAAAGAAGGAGAGAGAAAGGTTTGGGTAGAAATTTGCTTTTGGAATGTCAAGACAAGTTAACCTATAAAAATATAATATTCTGTTCTTTCTGTTCTTTTGATTGTGGTTTGTATAAAGATAAGAAAAACTAGCATTAGCAAATAAAGAGCAGAGGAAAGATTCAGTGCTTTAGGTAAAGCAGTGTAAGATGAAATATAATAAAAGTCTGTAAGGCAATTTGTTATTCACGAGACAATTTTACCTTGTTATATACATAAAAAATTAAGACAGGTAGAGCTAAAAATAAAAGATAAAATGCCAAAATCTGGAATTTTGTAAAATTTGAATAGAATCTACTTTCTTCTTGTTTCATAGAATAAAGTTTAGTGTGAAGTGTTAACTTAGGAATAAAATACTACAAACAAGTGGGTGGGTATTTGGTGAATATTTTTTGTGTTCAACATGAAGGCTTCATGTTAACTCATTTATCCATTCATTTACTAAGTGTGTTGTGTTTTGTGTGTGTGAAATTATACAGTAGCAAACAATAAAAGAGTCAAATGATCAAAGTAAGCAGTATAAGAAGGACTGGGAGAGACTAAGATGATGAGAAATAACGCATTTACCCATGTGTGCTCAAACATGAAAACAGAGCTAGTGTGGACAGACTGCTTAGAGCCCATGTGCACACCAAGCTTGTTGGTCTTTGTCCAACTCTCTAATCTTAAGTGCATATTCTAATTTCTTGCCACTTCTATGTGATTGTCATTCAAATTCTTACAATTTTTTGGAATAAATAATTGAAAATATTCCCATTTATACTGATCACTGAAAAGATACAGCAGAAGAATTGCCTAGCTATTTTCTGTTGAAAGAAATCAAAACTATGAAACCATTCTTCCTTTAGAACATAAAGCAAAATCATCAAATATTTCAAATAGTAGTGTATTTTCTTCAATTTCCTGCTATTCTTATAATGTATTAAGGCTAAGTAAATATCGGATGGAAGATTTGGGATTTTCCCTTCACAGAATTACAAATGTACTAAGCATGAGCATAGAAAGGTTTAAAATTGGCCTATAGGACCACTGGTAATGGAACAGCATTTATACCTACTGTACAAATGGACACTGGGAGCCTATTCCCCTTCCCCATAGTGGGATACTCTCTCAGCCTAGATACATGGGGGAGGGGCTAGGCCTTGCCCCAAATGATGTGACAGACTTTGATGATCCCACACAGAAGGTCTCACCCTTTCTATGGAGCAGAAGAGGGATGGGATGGGGGTTGGTGGGGGAATGGGATGTTGGGAGGGAGAGGGAACTGGGATTGATTTATAAACTAAGATTGTTTCTAATTTAAATAAAAAGGGAAAAAGTTAAATCTACTTAATATGAATTCTCAAATGAAAATGTGTATATATACATATATATAGTCATCAAGATATAAGGAAAATAGCCATAAATAAGAGAATGTAAATGTCATAAAACAGAAAAAAACTAAGCTATTACAGAATGTAAGACTACTTTAAAGTGAGTATAATTGAATTAGAGCATGCATAGTAAAAACAACTCACTTAATCCCAGCATTTGTGAGACAGAGGCAGATAGATGTCTGAGTTAGAGACCAGCCTGGACTGCAGAGGAACCCTGTTTCAAAA